GAATCGACTCAACAGCACACAGCAACAGTGTAAAATCCAGAGGTAGTGAAGGGTGAATTCCCTCTCACCAGCCTCCGGCGTGTCACACGGGGGGTATGCTCCACCTTAACAAGCACTCTGTGAGTTTCCCTTTGTAAACTCGGTGGCACGCTGCACACGTTATTCCTGAAGGTTGTGTTTTCTCGACTTGGTTTTCCTACATATACGTCAGAAAGGTACAAAAAAGTATTTTTTCCTGCTGTGCTATAAATGAAGCACCTACGTTTTTTTGCATGTTATTTTTAGCAGATTGACAAGAATTTTGCACAGAACGTAAATCTGTATAAGTCTCCACATAACATTTAATGCAGTTCCTCTGACTCCGCTATGTAAATAATGCCCTCAGTCTGTCATCCAGACAGCAGTAATACAGCACACGTGCCCTCATGCTTGGTGTTGGGCTTAGTCTGGTTCAGGGCTTGTAGAATGACAGGTGCCTTTGAGATGTCGTTGTTTGAGGGCCTCAGCCTGGACTTGCAGTCCCCACTGGCAGTGGAGGGGAGTCTGGAGGAAGAACAGTGGTACCCCCCAAGTGCTGCACTATCCCTTCTGCACCTGTAGAGAGTGGGTGTGAGGGTACCCTGGCTGCGGGGCGTGGCCAGAGATGCTGGGCTCCAAGTCTCGGGGAGAGGGGCCTTGGCTCGCAGTGGATCAGGGTGCCTCCAGGTTGGGAGGTGGGAGCGAGCACTGAGTCCTGCATTAAGAGCAGTGTCTGTGTGCTGTGACACTTCACCTTTGTTGTTGCTGACTGCAGGGACTTCATGTGCTTCGTCAGCCTGAGGCCTTCTTGCAGCCCCAGGCCCTGATGTGGGCCTCTGTGCTGCTGGACATCCCCTTCTGCCCCACACCAGGCTGCCCTGGTCCCCTGGGGAGAACAACTCGGTGGGTGGAGGAAATGGGAGAGAGTGGTGCCTGGCAGGGCCCAGAGGAACCTTCTAGTACTGTGGTAGTTACCAGAGGCAGGAAAGCAACCATACAGATGCTCTCGGGGCACCTGTCACAGCTGATGCCTGTGCCGACGTAACACCCACACACAGGACGTTGTAGACGGGACTCCAGCCTCAGGGGCAGCATTGGATGAGGTAGCCCTGAAGCCCCTTCCAAAGCTGAGCTCTGCAACACGGTGCTGAGCATTCCCCGTCTCCCAGCTGCTTCTCAGCTGGCACAGGGCGCCCCTTCCACCTCCCCTTCACATTGGAGAAGGAAATGGGCTTTATTTTCTTCGGGGAGCTCCCCCTTCACACACACACTTTTGTCTTATGATCAACAGGGCTTACCCATTGTGGCTAAAGAGATGGTGGAGAAAGAATCCTATTTGCTGGAAGAAAGAGAAATGGGTTGAAACAGGTGTTTCAGATAAATTAGCCAATATCCAGAGGAACACCAAGTACACCGTGAGCCATTTCTGAACGTGGTTTCTCCCTTGGGGACATGAGGCATGTTCACAGACAGCTGCGGGCCAGTTCGTAGGCCATGAGATTCCATTAAAAAACGTAAAAATGAAGCAAA